GAAGAGCACCCTCATGCCTTATTTCCCTCCACTTTTGATTCTTGGTCTGCTCTATATTCCTTGAGTGAAAGGCAAACAACAGAATGTGAAATTCAACACAATTTATTGAGAAGAGGAAGTACAACACAATCATCACCAGAGGATCCTTGGCTCAAGGTACTAAGGGGATAGAGTTGAGTCAGGATGTGATGACTAGACATGGAGAGGGCTCCCTGAGAACCCACAATCTGAAGATGTTGACCTTCTAGCTCAAGCTCTGACCCCACTGCCCTGTCCTTCTCAGGTGGTGCTGACATGCACCACTGACATGCACCCACTGCTGCAGCAGCCACTGACCTCAGACCACCAACTCCTCATGAGAGAGGAAAGTGGTGGAGGGGGAGTAGGCCAGGCTGGATGGCCCGGACAGGCTCAGGTGTTGCTCAGGCTTCATTTGTTGCTGTGCCAAGTCAGGGAATCTTCCAGAGACAGCATCATCCCAAACTATAACTAGATCTCTCTGGCCTAGAAGAGGACTTGGAGGTGGAGATGGAGATGGAGATGGAGATGAAGATGGAGATGGAGATGGAGATGAAGATGGAGATGGAGATGGAGATGGAGATTGAAAATCCCCTTCTCCAGGGGACTTGAGGGAAAGTGTGGTTGAGTCATATGTACCTGTTGACCCCAGGCAAAGTGTGGGAAGTGATTTGCAGGCTGGGAGGGCAGCAGGCGGGGATGGAGACTTGGAGAATTGCTGGCTGGAGCTGGATGGCCAGGAGAATGGAACACTGGTGCTGCCCCAACTGCCCATTCCACTCTGCCCCATGGAACTGCTGTCTCCACAGCCAGTCCACTCCACTGCTACCACTCTGGTAGACCCTGCTGTTGCTCCTGCCCCCACTGCCACAGGCACTGCTGACCCCTCCACAGCTGCTATCCCTGGAACCACTGCTGCAGCAGCCACTGATCTCACTGAAGCCTCCATGGACATTTCCAGAGCTGCTGCTTGTGCTGATGATGTTGTTGACCACCATTAAGGGAGAACAGACTCTCAATTCAGGAGAAAGGCCTGGGAAGCTGGAGGCCAAGCTATTTCAGACCCACCCCTGCTTAGCTGTGTGACTTTGAAGAAGATGTTTGGCTTCTCTCCGTCCTCTATTTGCAAACAATAGTGAGTCTGGCTGGCTCTCTGGTCCCCTTTTCCATGAACAGGAACCAGAAGTACCCACAGAAATCTCTTGTTCTCCAACCTAGGGGACACCCTACAACCACAAGGTTTGAACTGCTAGCTTACACAAGGAGCAGAGTGTATGGTCATGGCCAAGACCCTGTGGGTGAATCAGGCCATCTTTCCTAAAGATCAGTGCATGAGAATGTTTCCAAATGCCTGTTTTACAACCCAGGAAGGATATTTTTGAATGTGGTACTTACAAATGCTTACAGTATTCTGACACTCTCCAGTCATCCTGAAAAGGGAGAAGAAATTATTTATTTGAGCAGAAAGTCAATAGCCAAACAACTTGGGACTCATATCCTTGGGAGCCCTCTTCCCATGTGTCCCACTAAGAATCAAGCTCCTAGGAAAGAAAAGATTATTCCCAGTATGTTTCCATGACCTTATCTCCCCAGAAAAGAGGGCTGAACCTTGCAGTATCCCCAACAACCATGTTCTATCTTTTCATCTTCCCACTCTCTTTCCCTTAGCCCCAAAGATTTATTCCAAGCAAACTACCAACCCTCACTTGATTAGTTTCACCACTTGATTAGTCCTCATCTCTCACCCCTGCTAAGATCATTTTCAATTTTCCTCTTCCCAGAAGTCTTCCCCATGGAGCCCTAGTGAGACGATGGGGAAGGGCAGTGTAGAACTGACAGTTGTTCAGAGCAGAGAAAATATGAGAGGGGCCATCACCCAATGCATGATAAATTTGATAATGTCCCACCCACACTGCCCCTGTTCAAAATCTGGTTCTTATTCATGGAGCAGATCTGTCACATATCTGAGCAGACATGGATGTGCTTGTGCACCTTGCCACTGTGTGCTTCTGGTATCAACTACTCCCTCCTCATTCATCTGTTAGTACACTTAACTCATCTTTACTCTCACTCCTTCCCGTAGAGACTTCCCATAGAGACTCATAAGAAATCTTTTTTTCCTCATACTTTGGTCCTACTTCCTCCAACAGACTGGGAGCTTCCTGAAGACAGAGACTCTGAATATAAGCAGAGGGTCAGCAGAAATATCCCTGTATCCCAGACCCAACCCTCACAGTTGATATCCGCTAAGATTTACCTGCCAGTGTATGTTATATGTCAAGAATCTATATGTATCAACCTCTCCCCCATGTAGACTCAGCTTCAGGGATGGGGTCTCAGAACTATCCATACTGAACTGTCCAATATGACAGCCATTAATCACATGAAGCTGCTTAAATTAATTAAAATTAAATGTAAAATTCAGTTCCTTAGTTGTGCTGGCCACATTTGAAATCTCCAAGTGGATAGCACAGGTACAGAATATTTTTATATTCTAGAAAGTACCAGTGGACAGCCCTGGTCTATAACCTTTGTCATAATCCCAGAGCACTTTCCCTCACACTTTGCACACAGTGAAGATCAATAGAAGTATGCACTTCAATATGTCCATGATACATTGGAGAATTAGATGATAATGACTGATGAAATAGAATGAGACTTCCATTCTTCACTCTTGTTCAGGAGACTCCTTGCCCATTGTCTGAATTGTTCTCACCTAATCTTGTCCCCTTTCCTTTCACTAAAGGTTATTCTAAAGTCCTATCTGGAGAATACTCACCTGCACTCCTCACCCTCCAGCAGCTTGCAGAAGGTGGCAATCTCCATGTCCAGGGCCAGCTTGACATTCATCAGCTCCTGGTAGTCATGCTGCAGCTGGACCAGGTCATCCTTGGCCTTCTGTAGGAAGCCTGAAAGTCTTGGAGCTTGGCATTAGCATCCTTGAGGGCCAATTCCCCATGCTCCTCAGCTTCTGCAATGAATGCCTTTGGCATTCTGGGGCAAGAGGAGGTAGAAGATGAATTATCATAGTGACCAGGAAACAAATATCTGATTGTTTGCTTTCCCTCATCCAGCATTCCTCCTTCCCCTGCCTTAGAAATCCCAAGGATCTTGCTTTGAAAACAAGTCAGTTTTACAATTGGTTAATTCATTCTTGGCCCATTGAAATCAACTCATGACTCATGGAGAAATAGAACACTGATTTGCTTTCCTAGGCTGGCAAAGGTAGTAATGGTCTGATTAGTTACTGACTTTTTTTTTTTTTTTTTTTGCAGGACTGTTAAAACCTCCCTTGCTTAATCACTTTATTCCGAATACAAAGATGCCATCGAGGTTATGTAAGGAATATTATAAGTAGCTCCACAGAAGGCAGAGCCTGCTGAGAACTTAGTATTTAAAGACAATATTGCAGTGGAAGATTTGCTGAGCAAACGAAAATGAGCAACCATTTCTCCTTAGGGGGCACTACAAGAAGCCCAGCCTCCAGGAGGAACATCTGGGAGAAGAAAGGCTCCCAGAGACTATGCCATAAGACACCATGAGAGTGTGTGGCAAAGGAGTCCAGATGGTACTTCCTTTTCTCCCCAGAGCTCCAAAGACCTCCAGGATCACATCTTTGAGCCTGGACCCCCACCCCCACCCCTTGCTTCTTGATGTCCTCAATGTCTGCCTGCAACCTCTGGATCATCCTGTTGAGCTCCATGATCTCGCTCTTGGTGCCCTTTAGGTAATTCCCATGCCAGCCAGCTGTGCTCTGCAGCTCCCAAGCTGACAGAGGAGAAAGTGATAATGTAAGCCTTACAACATCTTGTCATACTCTTGATGACAGTCATAGGGACCTAAAACTAGAGTTTGGGAATGGGTGAGGGTTCCCACCTTGGTCTGGTTTAGTCTGCGGCCAACGCAGACAAGAACGGTTCGGTCACGCAGGAAAATCCTCAGGGAGTTTAAATTAAAGACACAGACACACAGTTACCTTTAAACCAACTCCAGGATAGCTCCTCGAACCCTCAGCCTCAAGCTCCCCAGGGGGGCAGCGAGGTTTTACTGAAGAGGCTATCGAGAGAGAGCGAGCACTCTAGAGAGAGGGCTTTTATTGGGGAACAAAGAATTCTGGAGAAAATACCATCCAATAAAGGTCAATGGGGGCAGTGTTGCAAGGTCAGGTGTGATGATTGGATCTTTGGGGCAGTGGTGAGACACGCCTCCACATGGACAAGCCCTCAAACCCAAGAAGGATGGGGAAAGCTCTGCCACGTTAAAAGTGACTGAGTGCCTCACACCCAGCCAGGGAGGAAACTCAGTCACGTGCAAGGATGGTCTGCCACAGTCTGGTACAGGGCCTCAGCCTCAGCCTTGTACCTCTGGGCAATCTTGTACTGGGTGCAGACCTCAACAATGAGGCTGTCCAGGTCCAATTTGCAGTTCTTGTCCATAGAGAGGACCACAGACATGTCGCTGACATGGCTCTGCATCTGGGACAGCTCCTGCAGGGAACATGAATGATTACTGACCCCAGAGGTTGCTGGGAATCCTCTACCAACAGAGATACCCCAAAGATGGAGATAGGGGGTAGGACAGCTAGAAAAATAAGCTTATATTTCAGGTCAGACTATAGTAAAGGATGCCAGACAACAAGTCTAAAACAAAAAGACAATGTGTAAATATAGTCAGGTTGTCAGCCTGAAAGTATCAGCTAGCAAGCCTTGATGGATGGGTCTGCGTGGGATCACAGTAAGGAGGGGTGTTATGAAGAATCTGGCTGTGATACTGGACCAGAGCCAGAGGGAAGGTGTAGAGTAAAATGGGCTAAGATGGAGAGGCCATGGACCACGACCATGGGCAGGTCCGTGCAGGCGGGGACAGCTAAGTTAACATTTCCTGCTTGAAACAGAGCTGAGTTCTGAGCCCGGTTGCAGGTTTCGGTAGTGTGTCCTGCCCCTGGGCCATCCCGCAGAGTTATGACAGGGAAGATGACAACAGGCTGTCTCTGGAGCTTAGCAAACAAAGGAATCACCGTTTCACAGAGAGTCCTCGGGAAGTTGACTTCCTCTGTCAGGCAGCCCACGTTAGCCCCTTCTGGCTCATGTAAGCTGCATCCATGTCCTGAAAGAAAGAGTCAGAAACCTGAGGACTGACCCAGTCCCCTCCCACCCTCCGCGCTTTCCAAGCCCTCGTCTCTCTTCCTCGTTCCAAGTATGACTTCTCAGCTTCCCTTTTAAAAGAAAGAAAATCAAAGTAGTTTTTTTCCTTTCAATTGCTTTGACCAGTCAAACCTAATGTTGTAACAAAATACAAACTATATTAGCCAATTAGAGTAACCATCTAGTTTTAGGATAGAAAAATCATATTTACCTAGCATGTGTGTGATTTTGGTTATATAGTGTGCCAAAAACCCAGTCTCCTGAATAAAAATGGATATTTTAACTACTTCATCTTTATAATGACTAGCTTAATTAAGCTATAGTTGATTGTGGTTATTAATATCCCCTAGGGTACACATGCAGGCTGAAATCTTGATTGATGCCTCACATAAAACATGCACTTTTAGTTCACATTACTAACCAGCTCATTAGTCACAGTGGATATGAAATTGTCCTCCCCACCAGCAATGTACTCAGAGCAGCTTCCTTAATCAAATATTTCTATAAATGTAATGAAAAATGTAATCCCCGCCCACAACAGAGGGGAAGCAGGAAGCCTGGATCTGGTCCTCCCACTTGCCTACCTTCTTTTTTTTATTTATTTATTTTAATTAGGTATCTAAGACAGCAGAATGCATTTTTGAATGTCATTTGGACAGTGACGTTTCAGAAGTGAAAAAAAGAAATAAGTGTCTCACACACTCATGCAGAATCTCCTCCTCCAGCGACAGAACCTGCTTCACGCACATGCAACCTGTGCAGTTACACAAGACCTGGGGTTCAGAAGCTCCTCACGCTGGCTTTAATGCCCTGCTGGCGACATCTTGAAATTCTTAATCTTTTTTTTTCTTTTTTTTTTTTTTTTAGAGAAAAAGAGAGAGAGAGAATTTTTTAATATTTATTTTTTAGTTTTCGGCAGACACAACATCTTTGTTTGTATGCGGTGCTGAGGATCGAACCCGGGCCGCACGCATGCCAGGCGAGCGCACTACTGCTTGAGCCACATCCCCAGCCCAATTCTTAATCATTTTTTAACAAGGATCCTACACTATCATTTTTCACTGAGTCCTGAAACTCCTGCCTGAAGACCTCTCAGAGTGCAAGGTGTTGCCTCACCCTCTCCAACTCCAGGGATAAGGTGAGGTGTGGGCAGTTAGGGAAGACATCGAGGAGCCCGGTCACTTGCCTGGGTTTGTTGATCAACTTCACAGAGCCACAGTATATACACAGGGAACCCATAGAGATGTTTGCTCCCCACCAGGTGTTTCTGCCTGTGTTTGCTCTGTTTCTATTTTCCTTAATTAGGTAGCTTCTTGTAGGAATTTGGGCTAAGAATAAATCCATGTCTTCGGAATACCTCAGGGCCGTGGACTCTTGCCTGTTAAGGACTAAAATTTCCCACCATGAGGATGGATTTTGGGAAGACTAAAGAACAGGAACCATTATAGGAGCAAAGAGGTTTCTGAGAAATTTAGATGTGAGTGCCTCTGGATCCCCAGATCCCAGCATAGAACCTGCAAACAATGAGTGGCCACAAACTTGTGTGGTATAGTTGGAATGGAGCCTCCCCAGAACAGCTGTACTCATCCCTGTGGGTCCTGACCCCTGGGGCTGTAGGGAGCTCTCCCCCTTGAGAGGCCCAGTTGACCTCCCACAGACTTCAGGATGTGAAACTCACAGACCAGAGGGCGTGAACTACAATTTGGAACATGCAGGAGGCGACTGACACTGCAGAATCGGGATAGGATACATTGAAATTGGATAGGACACATTGAAAGAGTGCTTTACAGAAGGCAGCCCGAGACCATCCGTGTAGAATTCCCAGGAACAAGGGAGCACTCAGACCCCTGGGCCTGTCCCACACCTACTGATTCAGATGATCAAGAACTAGGACACAAGACAAAGAACTAGGACATTTTGGGCAAACTTCCAAGGTGATTCCTATGTACAGTAAAGTGTACTAAAATGCCCTATATTTTGGGAAGACTGTTTTGTCCATCTGAGCTGGTATAGAAGGGGACCTGCTGGAGAATGAAAAATATATAATAATCAGGCACATAGGAGTGTCAGTCCCCACCCTGTCACCCCGTTTTGCTTGGTCATGCTTCACTGGATATACCCATCCAAAAGCATTGACTGAAGGTGCAGTCAGGAACAGCTGAAATGCCAAATTAGGAGCACACCCCCCTGCTAAACCCAAAAAGGAGAAACTCCGCCACTGGGGCCCTTACTTCTTTTTAAAGTCTTCCACCAGATGCTGCATGTTCTTCAGGTCCCTCCAGGCTCCCCTCTCCCCCAGAAACAAATCCAACTGCTTGCGCAGGAAGCTGATGTAGGATTCAAAGAAAGGTGCCAGATTGTGGGGGCCCAAGCCAGAGATTATGCTCTGCTGCTGGAGCAATTCCCACTTGCTCTCCAGGACCTTGTTTTGGTGTTCCAGGACCCTCACCTGCACCAGAGGAAAAGGCAAAGAGCCCCTTGAGTTGAACAAGTGGGGCCACCACTCCAAATGGTAGAAATGGGGGGCCTGGGAATGCGGCTCAGTGGTAGAATGCTTGCCTTCTATGCATGAGGCCCTGGATTCAATCCCCAGCAATGCCAAAAGAAAAAAACCAAAGGGTGGAAATGTGGAGAATGGACCCAGTTTTTTTGTTTGGTTGGTTGGTTTTGTTTCGTTTCGTTTGTTTTTTGCTTGTTTTGTTTTTAGTACTAAGGATTGAACCAGGGGTGCTTTACCACTGAGCCACATCCTCAGCCCTTTTTATTTTTTATTTTGAGACAGGGTCTCACTAAGTTGCTTAGGACCTCATTAAATTGCTGAGGCTGTTCTCAAACTTGAGATTCTCCCATCTCATCCTCCTGAGTGGACCCAGTTCTTAAATCCACAATTGCCTTTGTGCTTTGGAATTTGGGAAGGATGAGGATTAGAAATGGGAGAGCTAGAATTTGTTGAGCACTTACACTGTGCCTGCTATTTTCACATGTCTCATTAACCCTCACAACCACCTATAAATGAGATGTTATAATCCCCGTTCTGTGGATAAGGAAACTGAAGCTCAAAGAGCTTAAGTTGCCAAAAAAAAACTGGATACTAAGAGCCAAACCCAGAACTGCCCTGGGTCTACTGGGATCCTTCAAAACACAGCTAAAGATCAACATGAATAAACGTACTCTAATTGTCTGTAGTTGTAAGCTTCTTTGACCACTATAGAGAAAATGTGGTTGATGAAGTCTCACTTTTCCTTAGAGGTTTCACACAGCTGTCCTTCTCTGGAGAGTTGAGCACAGTATGACATGGAAAGCAGACCAATTGCCAATACTCCTCACCGAAAGGCAGCCCCAAAATTCATATCCATGCAAATTTCATTATCAGTTGGTTGGGAATATTAAGCAATTGCTTTTCAAAAGGAATTGAAAGTAAACTGTCCTGATTTGGTAGCTCAAATCTCATTCTTCAAAAAACTAAGAGCATGTTAGGAGCCTATCCTCATTCGTGCTCAACTTATTCCTACAGGGAATTAGGACCAGGAATTCTTTCCCCTATTTCACATCTAGAAAAACAGCCAAAAGAGCAAAAGAGGCCTGCTCCCTGTCCTGGAAGGAGCAAGGCCAAGGTACCTGGCTCTTGGCCTTGCTCCAAGTCTGGCAGGTCCCTGGCATCTTCCCACACCGACCCCCAAGGCAACCCAAATCCTCCACTCTGGGCTTTGCCTCACCTGGTCAATGAAGGAGACAAACTTGTTGTTGAGAGTCTTGATCTGCTCACTCTCCTGGGCCTTCCCTTCCCCAATTTGGGGGTCAGTCTCCACACTGAGGGGCTGCAGGAAGCTCTGGTTAACAGTTACTTCCTGGATTCCTCCAGAGAAGCTTCCAGGGCCAAAGCCACCAAGACCCAAAACCTCCAGCTGCCCCAAAATTACCAGCTCCCCCAAACTCACCTCCCATTGCTCTGCCACCACCAAATCTCTCCATATCCACCCCCAAAGCTACCTCTATAGCCACCACCCAAGCCACTGGCACAGATGCTATATCCTCCACCAAAGCCACCAGCCCTTGAGCCCCCAGCTGCCACACTGAAGGAGATACTCTTTTGCCACCTAGGTTGTAGAGGCTGCGACTGCCAAAGCCACCTGCTGCGCCCCGGAACCCAGAGGCCCCACCACCGGCTCCCCTGGAGCGAGCCACACCGCTCATCCTGCTGCTGCCGGACACCACGGCCGAGTGGCCTGAGAAGCCCTGGCTCCCACTGCTAAAGGATTCTTGTCGGCTTGTCTGCTTATGGTGAGGAGCTTAGACATGAGCTAGAGATCACTTATCAAGAGCTAAGGTGTGAACACAGAAGCTGAGCACAGGGGACACTGGCTTTTATACTCCGAGCCATTTGGCCTGTCAGAAGGAAAAGCAAGAGCTTAGCTGAGAGTCGTCCTGGGTTTGGTTTGCCTTGCAGGAAACAAGCTACTTCTTAGTTCCCAACACACCTCAGATATAATCCCCGGACTAAAATGGCTTTGCTTTCTTAGCTTAATCACCCAAACTTGCCTCTGTTGACAAAAGATGGAGACCTTTGTCCGCCCTTCCTGGGATTTCTTCAGGGAATCCAAGCAGCCCCAAATCCAGCAGGATTAACTGGCCTTTGACCCCAGGAGTTAGGGGCCACAAGGATAAGGACCAAGGAGCTGAGTCCTCCTCTAGATGGGCTGGTCCCTCCTTGTGATGCCAGAAGGCCCACAAGCTCTGGTAATAGCTGAGCTGTTTTTGCCTTTGGGCATTCTCTCCTGTGGCATGTTACCTGTGCCAACTCTTCAGAGAGGGCCTTAAGTGAGGCAGAGGGTGAGAGGCACACTGACCCCATGGGCTCCACTCTGTCACTACTCAACCAAGGGCATCCATCTAAGCAGGTCTGGAGTTGGAGCTTAGAGCTGCTTCTTACGAGAAAGAAACTAAAGAGGAGCCAACATGTCCAGCCCCTGGGGAATGGGAGGCTTATGACATGGAGTAAACTAGCGTGAGGCATAGAAAGAGGAGGTGGCATGTGCAGGGAAGACCAAGTCCTGCGTGTGATTTTTAGATCTGGCAACAAGAGGGGACAGAATATGGGGATGCTTCGGATGACTAGAAGAGTCAGTTCAAGAACCTCCACTTGTCTTTGAGTGACAGAGTGTGTCGTGTTAAGGTCCCAACTCAGATCTGAAAGGTATGATCTCCTCCCCACTCTACCTCCTGGTCTGGGTTAGGAACCCTTTCTGTTCTCCCAACACACCCTGTACGGTTCCTGTCACTGGTCACTGCCCTTCTAGGTCCTCAAGGAAAGGGATGGAATCCCACCTGTTCTCACTGTCCAGCTCCTACCTAGAGCAAGCACACCAAGGACATGTTCACTGATAATGACTCTTGGCTAAGAACATAAATATCTAGGCCCCGCCAGGAATGGTGGTGCACACCTGTAACCCCAGTGACTCCAGAGGCTGAAACAGGAGGATTGCCATGTTCAAGGCCAGCCTGGGCAATTGAGGCAGAATTGCAAGTTTAAAGCCAGCCTCAGAAACTTAGCAAGACTCTAAGCACCTTAGCGAGACCCTGTCTCAAAATAAAAAGTAAAAAAGGGCTGAGGATGGATGAAGCTCAGTGGTAAAGTGCCCCTGGGTTCAATCCCCAGTACCGCCACCCCAAAAAAAGAAAAGAAAATCTAGGCCCACTTCCTGGCCCAGTCTCATGAATGAAAATCTGCAAATAAAGAGCTTGGTGGAGGGGTTTGTATTTCTTTATATATACACATATACATACATGCATATATTTATATATATATATATATATATATATATATATATAT